AAATATTACTATAACGTCACAATATAATTATGAACTGACCATAACTATATAGCTGGCCGAGAGCTTTGCTTTCTGTACGAGACTTAAAGTATGTCATTCGATTTGTTCTTTTTATCACATGAAACGAAACGTTTGAACACTGCCATGCTCATACTACATGCATATATATATTATAAAGTGATGGAAACGAATGACGAACGAGGAATGGTAGGGGGTATGGCGTTCGGCGGGCGAACTTAAATCGTTTTTTCATAAAAACTTCACCGTATGTTTACGAGTCGAGTCTTAACAATTTGACAGAGAAAATTTCGATGACACAATGATAGAAGCGTTTAAAGAGACCGACGAATCGTTCTACGATACGAACCAATTGGTTTCGGAATCGCCCGTCTGATCACATGGCATAATCTGCAATAGGTTAAGTAGGCAGTTTTTTTTTTTTAAATAAATTTATAAAAAATTGTTTTCGTTTACCATAAAAATATAACACTATTAAAGTATCACGATATTTTTTTWAATTTTAATACTATAGGGTTTTTACTTTTTGCGCGCAATGTTATTCATTCCACCATAACGTGAATAAAACTATGACAATGTATGTTATGTGTTAATTTGATCAGATCACTTAAATAAATTCAAACAGCACATAATATGTATGGTATTCGATCGCCCGCGATTGTAAGTTTTCGTCATTGTGATCTGAAAGATTTCCTCGTCGTCTTTCGTTTGAAACTGCCGAAAACCGTCGTTTCTTTACTACCCACGTGAATACTATGGATGACGAGATCTTATTGAAGTCCATAATGAACATACCAAATTAGTGTTTTATTTTTATTTTTATACGCTCCCAGTGGTCTCTCTCTCTCTGCAGCATTGCACAAAATCGACCGATATATCAATTTATATTGTGTAAACTAAATCAAAACATTAGTATTCTCTTAAACCTCACACCTACGCGTAAGATTAGTTTGTTATCTTTGTTATGCGTAATTTAAAAAATAACTTTTCGTTGATAATAATATGTATTACTCCTAATGAAATGAAACATAATTACCATTATTATTGTTATTGTTATTATTTTATTTTTCACGACCGATTTACGATTGACATCGACTATTGTTCTACTACACTATTCTCATGAACGTTGTTGCACTGGTAGGCCGCCGAAACAATGTAGATAAATTTAATATAATAATTTTCATGAGAGCACAATTTTTGRAATCGATCTACAAACGTGCAATATTTATATTATTGTTTAGTATAATTATTACATAGTGCAGTTTATTGAGTGTCGAAGTTGTTTCGTGGTACAACAAATCGCTATCCCCAATTATGGTGAGACCATAGGAGTTCAATTATCTTGAATAACGCCTTTGCTGAGTTGATTTATTATAGACGGGGTGAAAAGAAAATAATAACAATAAAAAATAATACTTTACGTACCTTAATGCGTTTTAAATAGTACAAATGTATGAAAGAAAATATATATATATATGCATGCCCCATACATTCTCATTTGGCCTTTACCAATATTGATTGGATTTAAATGTAATCAATGGCATCTGAAGGGAATGAGGCATAATAGTATTATCATAGTGCATTATTATTATACTTACCTATTACTTTTACATATTTCAAAGTTTCAATGAGCAATAATGACTTTCTTTTCAGATGGTTGATTTATTATTTACTCACATATTGTTGCATATAGAAAAAAATACTATGTTATGTTATAGTATATATTTATATATGTATTTTGTTCGTTACGATTATGATTATTATTATTGTTCTTTTTTTTTWAAAATAACGATCATATCAATTATAGACTTTTTTCGTGTATTTTATAAGTCGTTTGTAATATTATATTTTAAGTAACTTAAAACATATCATTGTTTGCAACTTAGCATGATAATTATAATACTATCATTAAGAGAAAATTATAAACATTGTATTTGTATTATCGTATTAAGGAACATTGGGGCAAAAGTCCAAAGGATTTGTGTGTCAATTTTTCGTCGTTGTTTCCCGTTATATTAACAAGTCAAATGTGTTTATTGCTATGTTATGAMTACTGAACTTCTTGTATTTAAAAAAAAAAAATACATATAAAAATGATTTATCTCGTACCTCCAACGCGATTACGTCTTAAGCTTCATCGCTGTTACACAAAAATCCTAGCGACACGTGACCTTATCTATATGTCTTGTTGCCCGTAAATTGTACCATGTAAACATATCATATTAATATTAAATTGTACCATATACATATCATATAATGTACCAATACCGTGAAAACGATTTGGACTGAAAAATAATGTCTACTAAACAAATACATATCATTTTGAATAGGTAATTAGCAATTACTATTATATAACTTTATTATATTTATATTTGGTGTATTTTTTTTTTTTAACGTTATAGTTAAATAGTTTATTTGTTAAGTCGATTATTTTATAGAAGAATTTCTTAGAGTCACAATGTGCAATTGTGATACCTATCATAGATGGGTCGGGAAGTGGAATATAATGTAAATCCACATTAATAATTATTGTTAAATGATTACTGGACAACTGACTATAATACCACTGTTGACATAATCTTGAAAAATAATTCGACTGATCATATCGTAGGTACGTATGTTATAAAATTGAAATATAAAAATAGGTGACGTTTATTGAGATATATACACTCAATTATAAAATTGATAGACTAAAGTATGACTATAGTACAGTATTAACGTCTCAACAATTGTTCATTTCATTGCTCAGTCTCATACATTTATACACACCAAATATAATATGTAAAATACAAAAACAATATTATAATAAAGGATATTCCAAACGGTATGAGATTTCACATAATTTAATAGATTCTATACATATATATAATTTACACATTTTATAAATTAAATTAAAGATTTAATAATATTAAAAAATWCCCAAAATTACAAATATTGAAATTCATATCAGGAGTCACTAAATTACTACCCGCAGACCACATGTGCCCCGCTAGCTATATCAATTAATCCAAAAATAAACTATTCATATTATATAGTTCTATTTTTTTTATGAAGTATGATATACATACATACTATAGTTATATATTCTATATCAAACAAAACTGATACTATTTTAATTTTGAAGAAAATTCACCAAGTACACTATATTTAAATTACTCTTTATACATATCTAAACAAAGTCTTGATAAAAAAATCGTTAAAAATGTCAATTTTTTTATGTACGTTCCATAAATCGTTGCATACATTTATATTTTCTATATATCTAAGAACTGTAAATACGTTTAYAGATTATGTTTTGGACAGCAAAGAATTTTTAATTTGTATGAGGTCCTCAAGTAAAATGTGTAGTGACTTCTATTCTCTACACACAAGTTTATYGTGTATCAAAAAACAATTGTTAAAAAGTGTATTGTTCCTTAATTACAGTTTTTTTGGTTCCTTCAAAACCTTTTCAACTATCAAATAAATCAATTTTATTTATTGCTTACTTTGAATTACCATTCAAAATTGTTTTGAATTTTCGAAAAGTCAAATGAAATATTTTTGGAGAGAAGAAAAATATAACAAAATAGAATAATATTGTATACTAAATTTTAACAAAAGTATCCTACCCCCACCGGAAACACAGCAGTCGGTTGTCCAGTGTTCATGAAAATTATAATATTATTATTATTTATTGCTATATCAAGACCGAAAAGCAAACCATTTCGCCGGGGCTTCTCGTTCGATGAGACTTAAACCTTACGACTCAGCGGTCAGGTTTTGCATTGTGAATAGTCGTGTCGCGAGAAACCTACAATAGTAGCACGTTTACGATATTTTAATATACATATCGATATTATATTATATTAATATTATTTTCATATCGAGAGTTAAACAAATTGTTTCAGCTGTAGCACAATTTTTTTCGTATATAAATCATTTTCTATAGTCATATTGTATGATAATATTATTATTAAGTGTTGTTGTTGTTTGTTTTTTTTTTTATCTCTCTTTCTCTTTTTCACTCTCTCTTTCTCTCTGTCTCTTCTACGTATCTATATAATAATATATATATATATGTTATATGTATAACAAATGTGTCACACATTTTGAAAATGTTATGTTTGTCTCCGGACGTCTGTCTGTCTGAATAACATAATTATCATTATCATATCATTGTACGTGACGATAATACGCGTAACGCGCTCGCGCACGCGCATACCTATAATATTATAAAATTGTCACCGTCGTACAACACTTACGTGTAATACTAAGATTATCGTTATCATATTTGTTATTAATATTATACGACACTGTACGAGGCCGTTGGTGGGCGCACTACTTTCCGCGATCCCTTCCCGAAAGAAATCGATGGTTTTCGGATTTAAAAATGTCTCCGKACAGGAGCCGATCAGCAAGCGGTTTAAGTCGAGCGTCCCGCCGCCGCGCCAGTCGACTTGGAGAATAATTTATTATTAATATATTTTAAGATAGTATTATTATAATTATCTTATTATACCGTTCTGGTCCTGAGCACTTTTTTGCCGGACTGAATACGTTTTAAAATATAGTTTTTTTTTTTTTTGGATTTTCCAATAGCGTCACTACGATACTGTTATTTTTGTTAAAAATTTGTTTAAAATATGAAAAATATAGACGCGTGCCTTGTGCGTTTGTGTTTTGTGCTCGCACGATACGCAATTATAAAAGCCAAAAATACCTGTGTATCATCTTATTTTACATTAGTCTAGTAGTTCCTGTGCATATAAAACCAAAAAGTGTTTGGTTTTTCGTTGTCTAGAGTACTCTTCAAAACTATACTGACTCAGTTTACAAGCTGCTTTTTGGAACGTTTTATAATTCAGATAATATTGTTCAAATAATCAAAACTTGCATTATTTCGACCTCCCAAACACCTACCCTCGCAATAAAATGAATCATAACTTAGGAATACACCCGTGGCGCTATCTGTTTGATTTTTTGAAAATAATTTTCGATTTAAACAATTTTACCACCCGGATGAAGTCAGGTATTTGTTTCGTTCCAATTATAATAATTATACAACTAGTGTTATTTACTCACATAAACATACAATATATAATATTGTATATTATAATATATATACGAGTAAAATATAAAAGTATATAATATAACATGTATTTACATTTTTTTTTAAATGTTTTTTTATTACACAAGAGAAAGTATAAAGTTTTTTTTCTAGAAAAAATAAATAAGTGAAAAAAAACATAAAAGTAGGAACATAAATTTGACAAATATTATTTTACAATATTTCGCTTAACATAGTTAAAATACTTTTTCATTAAAATAATTCTATAGCATAGTGTATATAATAAGAACTTTCTAACCTATTTAATAATAATATATWATATTATATTAATTTAAAAAACTATCTATAATTACATTAGGTATATCCTAGATTTATTTTGTGTTTTCTTCAAAAATAAAATACAATTACTGAACAATTTAATATTTGAAGCACTCAACTAAAACATTTGTAACAATAACTTACTACCTAAGTATAATAATTAATTAATAATATTATATATACGACAACCAGAATGTATAAAAGAACGTTGTTCTCTCTGTCACTAAGGCATGCTTAATTTAATACGTATCAAAGCCGCTTACGATTACGCAAATAGCTACTATAATGTATTATATAATAATATATAATCACGAATGAGGAAAAAAATTCGTCAAAATTCGTGTTTATATGAAAACACACTACAAATAAATTATCATAGGCCAATATCGAGATATGAACACAAACAATAACATTACTCTGTAATCTGTTTTGTGGTACTAATATTAAATCGCGGTATGTATATTACAGTGTAAACGCCGGCGTTTAGGTTTTAAAAAATCGGCCGACCTCGGTTAGGTTGGTCGCGATCATACAATCGAACTGATTAAATGTAAATAAATAAAACCATTGACATTATGGTAAAAGTGTAAATAATAATTACTATGCGACGATCACCCGCCAAACGGTAGAGTCGCCGGGTCAGAGTTTGTTGTAGCCACTTAAAAATTAAGTTGATTGTTACTATTATTACCTATTAATTTTTTTTTTTTAATTGTATATAACAAATTTGCGTTAAAATAAAATTCGGCTGTTCAAGTAAAATACTGTTGAGTCGGTCGACGGTAACGTGGAAACGGTCTGTCACGATCTAAAACAACATCAATAAAACATGTTTATTAGCCATAAAGATATATTATAAGTCAAACCCAATAATATTATGATTATTTTTTACAGTTTTATAATCGCACAATCTAAACTATTCCTTCAAGTAAACCTATTTTTTACATCTCCCGATTGAAAAAAACCAACCAACACGCGTTGGCACCTTCACATTTTTCTTTGTGCGTAATTTAAACTTAATTTGTACTTTTGCTAAAAACATGCAAATTTATGTATACCATGAGATGGAATGCTAATATAAAATTTTTAAAATGACAGAAGCCCTTTTCGGGTTGAATTAATTCGATTTGAAAAGATAAATCAAAACTCGGGACTCAACTATTATAATAATATATTTAACGCACCTCTTTTTATTCAATTTTGTATACATTCTACGAATTTTCGAACGTTATACATAATCGATGTATTGTACTCTGTGTGTAGGCACAGGTAAAGAGTAAGCTAAAGCATACATTTTAATGATTTCCTTCAGTTAAATAATTGACCGTCAATAGCCATCACGCATTGAACATGTATTATGATAATTTTATGAAGAATAAATTAATTGTTTTTATGCATTCGATAATATTATTATATTAGTCGCTATGATCAATGTAAATAGATAAGTGATGAAAACAATAAAATTAGTTTGAAACACGCTGATAATTACAATAATTATTATTCTATTTAAAATAAAAGCATTAAATTGATAATCAAAAATACTTTTATAAATTAATTTAGAATGTTATCAAATAATGGCATCACGCGCTGTATTATAATTGGTACACGCGTACGTTTTATTTGGATTCAGACGTAAACATTAAAATTATTGTATAATAAGTACCTTACCTACCTAGATGATGATTTAAGATATCTAACGTCATTATACACCATACATGGGTAACTATGTGTTTATTCAGTGAAATTCTTTGATGTTTGATCACGTAATAACTAATAATATTATCATTTATCAGATCTGTGTATCTTAAAAAGGCCAGGAGATTTATGTGCCTACAATAATGTCTCGAGAAAATATTTCGTTCCTATGTGTTCGCATATTAAGGGATCCTAAGATATATAATAGTTCCCAGCACCTGGATACGATTATCAGATGATTTATTAAGGTAGTGTTTCATTCGATTCGTTAAAAAATACATAATTTACATATTTACATAACATCTTATTCGGTATCACTATGTTAATTACATTATTAATCTGTTTAAAATTGAAATGTTATGCCCTCCCGTTTTCGAAACCGTTTATTACGGCTGTTACCTACTAGTGTAGGGTATAAGTGACGTATGAATGCTGTTATTACATTACAATAATATTAACGTAAGTATAAGTATAAGACATTTTAAATAATATTGTTACTATTATTTGTTTTAATATTATTGTTAAGACTATGACGCTTTCATTAAATTTTTTGTTTTCTACCATGTCGGTATTGTATGAATATTTTTGTCACTACAGGTACGGGTTATAAGTTATAATTATACGTTTAATTTAATGCAATGACTACCTGCCAAGGTGTTTTAGAATAAAGATTTTTTCGTGTTGTAAACAACGACTAATTCGTTTTGATTCTAATCTAATATATGCACGATGCGATCGGCTCGCTCGAAAAGCATTTTTTTTTTTATACACTTCTTGGTAAAAACACAATTTAATGTATTTTATAATCTGGAATGACGTAAGTAGAGTCAAAGTAAAGATTGCAAATATTATTATTATTCCTTAACAAACTTTTAATTCAATTAGTTGCTTGTTTTTATGTGGGTTGTAAATAGTTAAAATCGTTATTTTATTAACTCAAAATTGTCTTTCCTTTTATTGTTTCAGTCATGTTGCATTACATATTTTATAGTTTTAGCGAATTTGACGCCACCAACAGTTATCATAAGCTATGTGCCCTTTTACTACAACTAACAGTTTTATAATATTACTCTATATAAAGTTATATTGGTTATAATAAATTATTTATGAACGACTTAATATTGCATTTGTAATAATTTATGATAGTGGCGAAATAAAAAAGTATAATGTAGCATAATTATGTTTTCATCTATTATTGTTTATGCATTTTAGCACCAAACTTTTCGTTTGAAAAACTATGTTTTTTCATATAAGGTTTAAACTATATATATAAAATTAATAATTAATTTAACACATTCAATTTAAATTTAATAATAAATCATTTATTGTTAACCTCTAAACATGTGAACTTTTGTTATCAGTTACSATTTTATCAGGTCATTGTTCATGTGATTTAACTCGAGTGAATTGATTTTGTAAACTAGGCTCACCACAACAACCCAYTTTAACTAATCAGTTTACCCAATAATATATAATATAATATTGGTAATTGTATATACTAACCATTTCGACCCGTCGGTCAGGTAAACGCGCGGCGACCACCGCAAAGTTGAAGGTGTAAAAAAACAATGACTAGCAACAACAAACAAGCGGAGTCTACTGCACGGGATGGATGTGAGGACGCGGGTCAGTATGTGTGGCATCCGGTCATGGTCCTCCAGTCCGGCAGCGACACACCAAGGCGGCGACAGTTGTGCGCGTATGCTGTCATCGCCTCGCAATAACACTTCCGGCCGTTGGGACACTCGCACATATCCATCAGACAAGATCTGTATAATATGATAAAATATATATATTACATAAATATAAAAAAAACAGTAACAGAAAAATATTTATTTTTTTTTTTTTTGGTGGGAGGTCAAACATTTTTTGTTAAATTAAATTAACTGCTAAGCACTTATCATTTTCACGTTCAAAATATAAAAGCTTGTTCTATTTTTAAAAATGCCAGAGGTCTGAACCATCAACCAAGTAATGGCCTTCGATTYATACGTCATTATATAATATGTTATGTACAGTAATACACCATATAAGGCGTAACTGGGTGGGGGGAGAGTTTTAAGTGTAAACATCTAACAAAAATGTATAGCCATACTGTGTGTATAACTGACTAACCTGAAAAAGTTGACGGGATTGAGCTTTTTGTGGCATGCGGCAAACATTCGTTGTCGAAGCGGCTTGCACATTCGTTCTCGAATTCGGGGCCCCTTCTTGGAACACTGTGTCGTATGCTGCACAAACGCGGGTTTCAATGGCCGGCTGCACGCGTTCTTACCACCTACACGCCAGGATGATCCAAACACTTGTGGCTCCAACACTACTTGGCCGTCCTTAGTAGTCATGTCGTCTCTAGGCACAGAGTTGAAATTTCCACATAGTCCGCACAAACTGCCTGTAAATGCCGAAAAATGCAAAGTTTGTAAGCAAAAGAAATTTCGCAAAATCATTATTATAGGTATTTGCGATTAAATGGTTCCTAAACTGCGGCCGAGGAGGCGTGATTACTCGATGGGTGAACCGTTACATTAATATAATAATATTTGGTAATCAACGTCAATAATTAGTTTTTTTATTATAATTATTATTCTCGTGATCGTTTTGACGAATCCCTTACCTTTGTACCTCGACGGCACAGACACTTCCAAAAATCCTCGTCCGTCCCAAATTATAGAAACACCAATCCTGGTCTCAACCAATACGGTATCGTTCATGTTAGATATGGTGAGCTCGTTGCTCCTCTTGTACGGCACGGACACTCTCTGTCCGTTGATCTTGATCCGCTTATTCTCGCCAAGGTTTACTTTCAAACCTCCAGTCTACGCGAAAAAAGACGCGTTAAATAATTACACAATAAAATATAAATTATTGTCTGGCACACAACCACTTTCGGCACGAGCTTTTTACTAAACACCACCATTATAGCTTAAACATAAAAATACAATAATTACCCTCAAAGAAATAGTTTTTGTCCACGCTGAATTTTTCGTGTTCCTCGCGTCGTTCGTCACTCGAATGCTGAAAGTCCGGCCCACGCAATCTGCACTCAACAGATATTTACACGGTCCTTGGAAACTAAAGAATTTCCCGTCGTATGTCCTGTAATGTGGATCACCAAACACCGTGCAAACTCCGTCCACTGAAACGTGAATAAAATATTTATATATTATATGTCATTTAATTTGTATCATTATTCTGTTCTATTATCAGTCGTAGTCTTGCAGACATTAGCGAATTGAAACAAATCGACAAAACAATTGTTGTCTAAACTTAAGACTCTAAAGTAACCGGAAAATAATWGTAAAATAGTCAAGCGATGGACTTACTCGGTACGCAGCGGGGACAACACGAACCAGGAACCGTTCGCAGTTTCATGTTGACCGGGCACGACGTCGAGATGCGTGGACACAACTCTTGGGCACACTGCACTTGGCCACGGACGCATAAACATGACTTGCACTCGTCCACTTTCCAGCCATCTCCATTCTAAAAAAACAAAAAAAAAAAAAAATGTTTTCGAAAAATATTACTAAAACGGATCGAACGAACAATATAATATCACTTATATATTAAATATCTATCTTCTGAGTCGTGATTGATTTGTTTAATTTACTACATTATAATAATACCCACCAAGTAAATGTTGCCGTTTTCTATGCACGTTTCGCTCTTGTCTATGGTCCTCGGACACTGCGGACAGCACTGGTTGTGCGAAGCGAATGTCTGTTTCTCCACGGGACAGTCCAGTGGCGGACAAGTCTCCCGCTTGCATACTACCGTCGAGTTGGTACACATGCATTCGGTGCACCGATCCGGATGCGTCCCCTGGCCCGACGGTGTGATCTTGTCACCCAACAGACAAGCTCCTCTAGGTGGTTCCATAAGTTTTCTACTCTTTCCTATAAAAAGCCAATATTATCGTTATCATAAGATTATGACCATGCACCTATACATAGATTCAAGTGTAGTCAAGTTCATAATGAAAAKCGAATTTGATTCGTTTAGTTAAATCATAGTTCGATATGTTGAACGAATTCATTAGGTATATATATTTAAGTGTATATCTCTATGTTGACTTGATTATAACAAAATTAATTGATTTTATTCTTAACTAACACTTGGGTGACACACACCGATTGTAAAACAATATTTTTTWWATTTTTTTTTAATAAYAATTATTGATTCTGTTAAATATTCATCATTTCTAATTAATGTAAATTATAGCGATTATTCCATAACATGTTTGTGTTGACTACATTTTTAAATCAATAAATATTTATTAGTTAATATTTCTTTCAAACCATAGTATATGTACTATATACATATAMAGAGCTGTGTACATGACAAATATATACGAGTAATAAACCATTCRTAAATTTACATTTAAAAATATGAAATCGATTTTTTAATGGTATTTTATAGTAACAAAATATAGAGTAAATTTATATAAACTTATGCCTCACTTTACGAAACTGCGAGTGTCCAATATGTTTGTCGATTTTTAATCAATGAACAATGATATAATTTAATAAAATATAATTTTAAGCGAAAACTAGAACCCTTATGTATGTTTGGAATTGGAATGATATATASAATATAGATACTGTTGATATTGCTTGCGATATTTTACATTTGTTCAAAATTAAACGAAAAATACAAATTCATCAGTATATTATACACGCTTGGTTTACATTTTTCGTTCGGGAAGCTTTTAAAAGTTTAAAACGATTTAGAATAATGTTGTACATACGACTACATAAAGACTCTATCAACATTGTCTACCGGTTGACAATGCTTTGGCTGCGTATTTTTTATTGTATGGGTCATTTGATATTATAAACGATTTAATTCTGTGTAGCGAACGTAAAATATCATATGGACGTTTCATAATATAATATTATTATTTCGTTGAATCGGCCAGTTCGATTATTACATAGACAAAAAAAAACACCCTTGTCTGCCGTCTTCGTCCATTGTCTACCCGAAATAGTCGAAAATAAAATTGAAACTGAAACACGATCGGATGGCGTTTTTCCACTATGTATTATTATTTTATACAACCGCGAATAAATATATCCGTATAGTTTGTCAGACGTTTCCGTCCGGAATGTCGTCTTAGCCCAGTTATTATATTATAGCTGTATTTTATAATGACAAATAATAATAACGATATTGCATACATACGATGATGACTGTATGATATTATRGTTTGAATGTTAGATATAGCTTTTGCAAACAACTCTAACAAAGGTCGGATAAAATGTACGGTATTTTTTTCCTGCGAATACTTTTGAAATCACGATATGCAATATTATTACAGCCCTACTATATATAGTAAAGTCATCATATTTTTGAACGAACCCGCAATTGTAATAAAACTCAAAGCAGAAGTCCCTTAGGTCTCGACAAAAATATTTCCACGGTGTTGTACGATTGAGAACATTTTACATTTTTAGCAACACGATTGAGAACGATTTTCGGCAGATCAAAGAAACAATATTTTGTACYTTAAAATCAAACGATTGAGAATGATTTTTTGAGCGACGTTGTCATTTATCTTAACTTTTAGTGATAACATTTAATGCAAGGACATCTTTTTTTGGTATTTTGAAATGTTGCTGATCAAAACTGATTTTTTTTTGCATTTCTTGACAAAATTAATAGCAATTATTAAAATGTGTTTCCTTTTCAACATCACAACAATATATTGTAATATACGATCRTCGTTATTATTGCGATAATTTTTATGATTAATATTAGGATATAATAATATTTTATATTGTTTCGCATCGAACTTAACGGCCGATCAATTTCACTTACCCACACATCTGGGGCAGCATTCACCCGGCAGTATCTGCATGCTGCTCGACGGACACTGGAGCACAGGGCACGCCTTTTTTGAACAGGTGAGCACCGGTCCRGCCGCGGATCTCTCGCAGTGACAGGTCAGACACGGGTCGTCGTACAGGCTGATGTTCTTCCAAGCGGCCACCTCTTGTCCGATAACTCGGCAACCTGTGGAACACAAAACCGGTTACAGCAATCGCATAGATTATAATAATAATATTATWATTAATATTATCTGTCTGCCACCGACACCCCCCCCCTTCGGCGCTCTGGTTATCCATAACGGTTTTCCTCGCAGTATTTGTTTAGTACGTATAGCAGGCGCATTATTTTAACAATACACTCCAATACCATTGGGTACCTACTACCTACAGCATATTTTATTGGTGTTTTTTTTTAGGGGTTTAATATAGGAAATTTTAATAAATTTCATTTAAGCTTTTTCTAATATGTGTGCGAAACTCTGTAAATAAAATCTTGCACTAATAGAATTACAATAGTGTGTCGTATTTTTTCAAAAGTATGCAATACAATAAAACATTATACTCCATTTAATTTGTTATTGTAATCATACATTGTTGTAGTTTCGATGACAGATAAAAAGACAAAGAATAGACTTAAAAATACCGAATAATTCACTATTTTATTTTTAGTTATAAAATAATATAAACATATTTTTASTATTATATGGTGATTCAATAATGTTATACTATATCATATTGACTTTTCAAACATTTTTTTTTTTTTCATTTGGTCAGAAGTTCAAAAACTTTCTTAACGAAAGCACCGAAACAATACGAAAGGGGTAAGCAGAACTTGTACCTTTATTAGAAATTGGTTAGGTTATCATTAAGCGGATTATTTCATTCACAATCAGGTATATCTAATATTATACTGTTTTAAACTTGAGCACATTGTTTTACAGGATCCCGTTAGTTATAGGCTTAAAATATCGGTCCTCGTGACTCGTGTCAGACATAATCGTCCGTTATTTCAAAGTATTGTTGATAAAAGTCACCAAATGTACATATATTCCTAACAGTATAATGATATTAAACAGTATTTGAAACGGGGAAGGGCACGATGAACAACTACTACACAATAATATGTATAGGTAACGTAAATAAGATACACACGTACCGCCAAGGTCCTGTCGACTCACGCACTATAATAGATATCTAACCTATCCTGTATCGATGTAAAGTACCTACACGTCATTGTGTCTGACCAATAAACCCTCGTTGGTCAACGTTAAAAACATAAAATGTTATATTATTTTTTTTTTTTTTTATTTTTTTTTATTGATATTAAAGGCTTCAACAGCTAGGTCATTAGCCTGTGGTTGTGGTTGTTATATTATTATGTGTTTGAATACTACGTAGAATACTAATGACTGTGTGTATAATTGACGAACGAAATAAGTATAAAGGACACTAAATAATGATTATATTTCAAGATTTTTAACATTGTAATAAGTCTGAGTCGCGGACCACCACGGCTGATCTTCCACTCTAAGACGCACGTTGGAGACAAGTAGTCGAGACATTTTTTTGAACTACTTTATCTGGATCGAAATAACAAACCTATAACCTATTAAAAGTTGTGTAAATAAAAAAAATGCATTTCTGATTTACAATAAACCATTTTCAATGATTATATCAATGTCGTCGAGTTGCAGAATCTTCTTAGTCATTGGTGTTTGTATCCGATAAATTAGGTCAATTAAAATGACATGTAGATGAGGTGGATTTTATAAATGATTTTTTAGACAAATTGTATTCCAATGCTTCTTCTTCGAAATCTTTAAAAAAATTTTGCAAGCCAAATAAGTCRTCAGAATGCACATTTTCTACATACATTTTCAAGACCCTCTCACCAGCAGTTATRTACGACCGTTGACATGCCTCCGTTGTACAATGTTATCTTCGCTATCGTCAGTCCCTCTATGCCAGCTGTCACCACGTGTCCCTCGATATGGTCAATATATATATATATATGTATATGAGTCGCGTTTAGATTATCGTGTTTCATCGCGTCTCGCGGAGTAATATCATGGAATCTGCTTTAAAATTGTATTAGGTACATTGTTTTTCGGATACGTCCATGCCACCCAGCGAAGGTTCAGTGAATTGTTTTGAATTTTTTATTCTTTTATTATTTTTTTTTTCAATGCGTGTGGCATCCAGTCTTCAGCCATTAGCCCATCTCAGGCTCGGACGCGCGGTTGCCCCCTCCCCACACACCCCCAGCCCACGATTGCAACGTCGCCGCCGCCGTCCAATCGTTTTATCCGGCGCGCGTGCAGCGTGCCCCCTGCCCGCTCGCGTAATATTTTATTTGTTTTAGACCCGAACGAGTATAATAAATAATAGGCACGACACAGGCACCGCCYTCGCCGCGTAGTCGCACATCATATAATACATAATATATTATTATAATATAGGTATAGGTCCATAAAGATATGGGTAGTATATATAACACACTTAGTATACTTATATCTAATATACCTTCATAATAACATAATAAAGCCGAATATAAACCCAAAGGAGATGAAAAACAAAGAATATTATTTGGTATACTGACGGTCGTCATCGTGCACCATAATAAATTACGACCCGAAATGTTATTATTATTATATTTATAAACAGTTGAGTGAGTGTGTGTATATATAAGACAATATAAACTACTTCTAGTATTTTTTATACATGTATATATTATCTACATCATACCGACGTTACTGGCCGTACCACCGTCGACGAATATGACAAAATAATGAACGCACGGTCGAAAAAGCAACGCGCGCGCACGATTATCTCGTCTGTCTACCATTTAGACYTGAGTGAAAACGCAGGTAGGTTATAATATATTATTATATACATATGGAAAATATCATAATATATTAAAAAGTCATTTCTTCCGCCGCTGCCCCCCGTGGGCTGTGACTCGAGGGTCTAACGTGCTTAAGAGTTGTTTTTCCACCAATTACCGCAATAAAGTAACTCGGATAGCTTCATTAAATCGGTTGATAACTCATAGCCTAAAGGTTMTAGTMGAATGCGTTGTTTGTTATAACAAAAGCATAATATTTATTAATTAATCTTTAAAGCGATATTGAAAAAAAAAAGTTGTTTCCTTTGGCTATTTTCTGTGCTTATTTTTCACAGCACTTTATTCTTTATGGCGATCGATTACTTATTATAAACGATTTATACACTAATTTATTTATATTGTGAATATTTTTAATTCGATATATTATTATGTATGGTAAATATGTTTTCAGATATACATAAATATAGCATATATTAAATTGGGTGTATTTCGATATTTTAATAACATTGATTCCGTCTATCATCCATTCATACCGTGATGGTATTATATAAGTAATAATAGTACATCGAAACGCTAATTTAGATATAAATATCAGCGGGCGGCGTTTTTGCTTTGAAGTTTCGAGAAAACTGATGTATAAAAACATTTAATATAATATTGTATATTATATTCCCTAGAGACTTAAATATAATTCACTAAATGATTATTCGACCAACAATAATGAATGTTCGGAACATATGTTGGTAACATATTATTTATTACAACACATCACGCTAGTTGGCCGTTTAATAATTTCTCGATATTATATACAATATAGCCCGATCAAAAAACTATGATATAAAATAGTATTATTAAGGCAGGTATAATTATGATTTTTGAAAATCGAATCCAACATTTTTGACAAATTMAAATGTCCTTCGATACTGTATCGTTGTGTATAATAGGTATGTATAATATAATAATATAGGCAGGTATACATCATGATAATATTATTATTACTATTATATTAATACGTGCGTTGATATCRATACTCAACCATAACCGGTAGCTAAGCACTAAAGCAGACCGTTTAACATGTTTATGTTGTGCACAATGTTCGCTGCCGGTGGTCCTGCCATCCATCTCTTTATCTGTTTGGCGTTCTGTGTCTAACCTTATAAGCCGCTACTCCTTTTCCCTCCTCGTCTTCCTCCGATTCAATTTTCGTTCACGAACGTTACAATAATAATAATACATTATACCTAGCATCCATCCATTGTTTTTTATTATTATTATTTGTATGCGTGTGTGTATGTGTGTGTGTACGAGTAGTATGAGTGTTATTGTTTTATTTTCGTCAGCGCTGTGTTACGACGTACGGAGTTAATGCCCACCACGTCGTAGCGGAAAAGTATCTATACATGGGGGTTCATTTCCCACGAGTCACTTGACGGACGCTTGTGTACCAGTCGTGATTTATCATGACTGCAAAGCTTCCAAAAGAATTGTTTGTTTTTCTAATGTGACATGAAAGATTCTATCCCAGAACATAATATCGTACCGTGTATCCCTTCTATAATATATTAATAAAATATCTACGTATTAAACAATGCATATAATTCAAAACAGCTWTTCGAGACGAGTCTCGGAGGGGAACCGGCATCAAGGCGATCGTTTTCAAATAAATTCGACCACATGTAGACTATCCTGTAGGATGATTATAATATTGTATTATATTATATATCGTGTTTTCACCATACCATTTGACTCAATTCCTTTACACCCCCCCCCCCACTCACCAAAATAAAATATCAGCGTTGGCCATAACGTTATAAATATATCTAGATTAGTCGCGGTCGTCGCACACGCCGATCATTAAAAATGCGCACATTACGGGCTCGGATATTTTATACATGCGCGTAGGAAATTATGTAATCGTGAATAACAATTGTATGTATATACAGCCAATAAGACGGATTGATTTTTGTCACTTACCCGGACAAGTTGGGCAGCAAGTTCCCGGTTTGGGCGGCAACGGCTGTTGGCAGGGCGTAATGCACTGCATCCGAGTCTCCGTGACCACGCCGGCTTTACACGACATAACCATGCAAGGGTCGTTGGGATCAGTCCATTCCGTGCCACTGTCCCTGGGCACACCTTTATGAACRCAGCCTGTGACAAGCGATGACAATACAAGTATTATTATTATTATTATTACAAGTATACAATTTTTGAMGATAAGATTATAAATAGTAATAAATTATGGTTAGGTAAGTACATAATATTTATGATAAGATATAGGTATTATATGTGTTGTTATAGAAAATAATATAGAGAATACACTGACCGGTTACAAAATAATATGTGAGTGAATTAATGTTTGGTGAAAAACTCGCATTCACTTGCCATTACTATCTCATCAATAACGGACACTTATGCAGGGGTTAAAGTGGGGGGGGGGGCGCAGGAGGACTCAGTCCCCTTACCTCTGACGGTGGTTAAAAAGCGTCCCCTTTAACAAATTAGGATTTTATACATTAGACATTATACCTAAAATTATATATGGAACGCTTAAAACTTTATGGAGACATTAGTCCCCTCTGGAATTTTTCCCCACTTTAACCTCTGCACTTATGTAAGTCAATAAATATTATTTAAATAGAYAACTATTGTCTGTCTTTTATTTGTAATATATTTTTATCAAATACTTTTATGTATAGTTGATGTAACTTGTTGATACTCTCTGTATACGACTTGACATACGATTTTAATGCGTTAGTCTACTTAGTCACTGTATATTCAAAGAACTTATTTGTGAAACGATATTCTATTACTACCTATTTTCAGTTTCTTGTTATTATCTTTTAAGCGGGTTGTTACAATCATCTAAAAAAATGTCAGTGGGTCATTCCTTGCGATAATGAGAATGAATCAAACAATTTTAAACTATCACAAGTAGGTAATCGGCATTATTATTGTGACTTGGTTAAACCGAACTTGACGTACCTTTGCAACGTCTGCAGCATTCTTTCGTGTCAACGAAAACATCTTGTAGCATATAGCATCCCTGTTCGTCGGGGCACTGGTCTTTGACGCACTCAACGAATCCGTTCTGAAACACAATAATCGTAATGTCATTAATTTATAATGGTCGATTATTAAATGATATTATAGTAATCGTGTTTAGTTTAAATGAAGAAATTAAAGTCGTCGCCGTGACCGTAAATACCATTTCACACGTATAATATATGATATACCTGATATTATAACTGATGATAATTATACGGAAAAATGTACGATATAGATCTTTTGGAATTCGTTTCTGACGCCGCGCCGTGGCGGTTACCACTGCTGCGCGCGCGACCTTCCACCCGTCGCGGTATTCGATTTATTTATTTTCTACTTTTTTTTTCTCTCGTATTTATATATAATTATACTACACGTATTATTATAAAATGGTGTGACATCGACGGTAGGTCGGTTCGAGGCATTAGTCTCTGAGAGCAATCCGAAGCACGCGGCTCGTATATAATATTATATAATTGATTAATCGCGCGACTTACGCACAATCTCGATACCTTAAGTCGTCGGATGATTTACGACAGCGTTTGCAGCAATGGGTGTGTGTTTGTTCGCATTTTCTTACACGACGACGACATTGTCCACATTCGCCCGACGAAACGGCGATGCGATAACCGAACGGACGTTTGCGCGTTTCCTATCCGGTAAACGGTAATGGTGAAATAATTGTATAATATCGAAAGGCTGACTAGCGAGCACACRGATGACGAACACGCGTTTATATATGAGTTGTTTGATATAACTAATATAATAGTGCTGATCATAACAAAACAGAGAGTTTAATTCATTTATTTGCATTTTTTTTTTTTTAAACGTCGTAAAAGGAATTGAGCATATAAATAATCAAAAATGTTCTTCAACGTTATATTTTGATTAAAAGAATTTTTTTCTACCCACGACAAAATTATTATATTTTTATTAATTGCYATTCCTTATTAAATCGTATTGTTAGTACATATAGTTACATTTTAATAAAAAATTGTGTTTTTTTTTTAATATTAGGTATAAATTCGTTCAAATGTCTAAATCCAATTATAACGTATAAATATTTATCACAATGTTATCGTACTGGTTTATTGTTTTTAATACTCGTCGAAGAACAAGGTGGATCACGGTGTAAAGTTAATAGTTAATTACTCAAATAATATTTAAAACAGTAGATATTATTTTGCGTTTCGCACGCGGAGGTGGTTTACAACTCGGTTTTGTCATAATTTATATCAATTTACGAGTTCAACATTATCGTGGCATGTGCGTACGTACAGATTCAGCAGCAGTTTTATAGGCATACATCATCGGCGGTCATGACGCTTCCCGCGGCGACCTTTTAGCTGTAATCGCGACCGGCAATAAAAAAAAAAAAATTGCCATTGTAATTAAACCATCGCAAGTTGCTGCACGTGTCCGTTTTCGTTATTACGCGCGTGTAGTAGGTACGTATATATAATAATAATAATAATATTACGAGTGCATAATATACTTTTTTACTGCGCGCGTGTTAAAATCCATCGCATATACGGGTATGTTGCCTGCCTAATATATCAATTTCTCCGGACGGTATGATAATAATAATATTATTATTAATATTATAAGTTATAAGTTTTATAACATTACACACGACTCACGAACACGCACAAGTACGCACACGCTATACAACGCGGTACATTTATATTATTATAATATTATTTATTTATTATCATGGCGGTTTTACTCGAAGAGACCGAATAATATGATAATGTCTTTTTTGAGGAGCGCGGACGATGCCGCGGCGACCTTCAGTCGAAAGCGAAACGCTTGGCAGCGTCCTTGCAGCCGCGTACCTATGGCTACACCGTCGGCGTGCGTGCACGAGTGGAGTGTGTGCGCCGTGGCCGCGGTGAAAGGACTATGATACGCGTGCGTTTAGTAATTTAATAAGAATAATATTAAATTGACGAGTTTTCCTCGCGAAACGACACCARATTAATTCGGCGCCGGGCCAGGCCGTATATAACGTACGACAGCGGTTCGGACCCTCGGGTCTGATGCTTCACAAAATCGATTGGTTTTGAGGGTCATGACCACAATTATTTGCCCGTAACAAATCCTAGATTTACCAATATTACGAAACATTTTAGTTTTTTTCCCCTTCCAAGTACAAAGCTGACAGATAGAGTTGCAAACCATTTATCACTRTTGAATTTTTTACGTTTACAGTCACGGGGTTAAGATTTCAATTAAGACAWTCAAGTACAACTTGATATTCGTGAATCTATGATTGTAATACTGAGCATTAATATTTTAGTTAGGTATGAGCAATATTATTTATAACATACAGTATTATGTTATAGTTGAATCTAAAACCTTTACATATTATATATTATAATATATTATACTAATATACGAAGCTCATTCATTATGATTCATTAAAATATCAAGGAAAATAAATAGAACTTGTATCGATACAATAAACTCACACCTCATCTAATGTAATTTGTACGAACAGTGTATTGTATAATTGGCCGATTGATGACAGTACGATGTACCTATTATCTCATGCTTCATTTACTGCGGCTATTGGATGATTAGAATATTATGATATTTCTAGGTACCTATAATAATTATTGTTATTGCTATTATCGCGTATTTATAGACTTATAGTAATAATAACAATAAATAAATAAATAAATAATATAAATAAAATAAAAAATATATATATAATATATACATATATTAATATTAAATGATGTTATACTATCTCACTCTCTCGACGCCGCCAAACAGCGTAAATCTGGTAGCGCATTATATTTTTTTTTAATTCGTACCTTTCTACTGTGTTTTAATCGCTTTGGTCCATTGAATGTAATATATTTTGTACATTTCGTGTGTGAGTGTGCGTACAGTGCGTTTAATAAAGAAATATAATTCCGGTTCGTATATAAGTATCGATCGTTAACGATAACGATTGCTGGCTCGGGTCAGGGCGCGATCGAGATCTCTGAAGATAACGAGTAGCTGAGTAACGAMGACAACGACGAGAGGCGTATACGGTCGAGGTATTAATATTGTGGAGTAAGTACACGACGAATGCTTATCGAAAAAATTCTATCAGTTGATGATATGGGGGTGGGGAGAATGAAACGCTAACACGGTTGATAAATCAAAATATGCACTCATATATTACACCTGTTGCAGAGTGATATTTTAACAAACACTTACAATAGATACTCATTTTTTGAGAAGAATTTTTTTCTGCGAGCAAGTAGTTTTATCATTGCAAATTCCTAGACACGTGTGTTTTAAAAAAGTCTTTAGTTTTAATTCGATATTTATGAACATGGAATTCTCTTTTAWGCTATTACCGATATTATATTATATTGAAAATATGGTTCACGTAGATGAAAAAAGACCACTCCCGATCCCGTGGAAAAATCTGGTCAAATTACCTGTTAATTAATTAATTATCAGAAAACGACGCGTACACGTTTTCGTGAAGCACATARTATTGCATACTATTAAAATAATAATTTATTCTAATTTTATTATTTTCCGTAACGGTCATCAACCGCGGCGTAATGTTAGACAGGTAGATAGGTAGGTATACACATCATCAATACGGGTGTGAAATAATAAAAGCGTATTCGTATTTTTAAGACGCGTTCGGYGGAACTACATAATATACTATAATAATAGTTATAATTCGAAAAATAATATGCCTGTGCCGACCGTTTGGCGCGAGAGGACTCGCGAGTTCGATGGGATTGGCGTCGGCAATGTAGCCGACTGTCAGGTGAGCGGAGCGTAGAGGGCACGTAAGTTTTTATTTCTCTCGGCCAAACTGGTTTTGCGCACACAAATTTCTACTACACACATGTTCACGTTTTAATATTATTTTAATATAGGTAGGTACCTATATACACGCGCGGTCGATCCGTCGTCGTCGGGAAGTAAATTTTTTATGGGACACACCGGCCGAAACCCGTTCGACTCGCGGGTTTTCCTGAATTTCTTACCCGCCGCCGTATACGAGCGTATCAATAATAATAATATGTAACTCTACTATTATCATGRCCGTCTGCATTTTAATGGAGCCCTGAAATTAAGATTTTAGGCAGCCCACGAATCCACTTTATAGATATTATTTAGGTAGCCTACACGCGTGTAAAACGGTGGRCAGAGAGAGACCTGCAAATGACTCGATCGAGAGCACTGTGAGACTAYGTCAGTAACCCACCGTCTTCGATCTGGCCGTGACGACGACAAYGGAGACACATCATGTACGAGAAGAATAAAACAGCGGCTAGTCGACTGTCGTGTGAATATAAATTAGATATAATTCCGTTGGCCATTGGACCTCGCAAACTTCGCGCATATAATATAATAGGTACGTAACAGTGAATCGAATAGGTAATACGAATTGCGGATGACTCGGAAATGTAATTAATTTATAAAAACAAACCGTAAATCGATCTTTAAACGGGGCGTTTCGACAAACGGATAAGACGTCTCGCTGTAATATCTTATATGCGCTCGCGTATCCGGTTTTGCTTTTGGTTATTATTCGTATTTTTAAATATTCATTTCTGCCTGGACACCGAACATACAATATTATAATGTAGCTGTGCGTATATATTATGACATTATAATAATATAACGATGCATCGGCAATGATGATGATGAACACGCGTTAAATCAAATACGATTAGGAGAAGAACGGATGCAGGCACGACGATGCACTGTGTTTAATAATATGCATACTTGATGTCTATTAGCCGATCGAGTAGTATAATATAATATTGTATTTTAGATAGGTATAGGCACATTTATRTGCATATAGCGTGTTCTCTGTAATTTCTCTTCAATATCATACTTTAATAATAATTTAACCTTTCATGTTTTATGTATATATTATATTATACGTATTATATACCTACGGGCTACGATATAACAATAAAATAACGACATTATATAAAAATACTCGTATTTATTTCATCGTAATGTCTAGTAGCTACTTAGAACTTACACCCAAAGCGTTTCTGTATGTTTCTATTATTCAATACCGATTGTTTTTTATATTTCAAATATTTGTTTTCTTTAATTATTGTCGTTCAATATAAAACGTCTATGGAACGGACTTGGCTGCGCGAAAGTTTGCCATCACTCATCAGTCATCATAAATATACGTACGTTAAAACTTATGAGAATAATAAACTACACTATACATTCTTTAGGTAACGGTTTGTTACATTAAGAGAACGTGGAACCAGTATGTGTTGTCTCAGTGTAACATATAGTTCGTACAAGAAAATATTTATCTAGCAAAATCGATTTCATGTCGTTAWYTATAGGTATTATCAAACAAAGCTAAGAATATTATGAAAAGCATATTATTCATATACTTTTATTGATATTATAATTATTCAATATCATATTATACAATACATATGCTACCTATCGACAGAAAGTTTAGCAGTTTTGTTATGTTGTACGGTTCGTAAGATAACATATTATGATAAGTTTACAATTTTATTCGATATATACATAATCTACTCTATTTTATTGTCATACTGATCTTTGGGCATTTAAAACTATTATTAATAAATAATTTAATATTGGTGACCTGTGTAATTTATCAATATTTGTATAAATTACTTACCTATAATAAGATTATTATATAATATATATATATATTATATATATATTATGTTTTACTTATACGTTTAAATGTGCATGAATGTTAAGTAAAAAAGTTTATAAATTTTGAATTACTATTGTTATTATTGGTTTTTTATTGTAGCTGAAAGTGTACATATGAATCATATCAGATCATCTCGAATCCTACATATATCCGTTACAGGCAGCCATAAATGGACGGGAAGAAGTTCTCAATCCATATCATATTTGTTCGCTGCAGATCGTGGTAAACGTACAATCYGAGTTTTCGATTTATGTCCGTCAACACAAAAGTCGACTGAAAAGTTTGAAACAAACATTGTATAAAATCAAAGCCGCGTAACGACGTTTTATGAGCATGGCAAATGACGGACTGACGATTGAATTATTTTCTTTTTCACGCGTGCTCCGAAACACAAATATACGCCAATACCGAAAACTTATGAATTTTGGTATAAAATGTCGTCAAATTTATCAATTTGTTTTTATTTTTTATGACCACGACGCTGTACTTCATTATCATTTATTAGTAATAATATATTATACTTAACCTCGAGGGTGTTATTAAATAGTAATAATTTCTAATAGTACAAGATAGTACGACGACGAGCGGCAAACGGTCGTGTATAAAACGAGTTTAATGCACTATACAGCCTTGGCATTTGCAAAGATACATAACCGTCCACGTTGTATCAATATGGTTTATTTTTTGGCCAAGTTACAGTCGACATCCAAAAATCTGAAATATCTGCGCGATTGTCGATAAAATATTTACATAGTCTATACAACGTTAAATCCGCACTTTTATCGATCAGTTAACATATTTTATATTTTAATCATCGCGATCAAAATTCAAAATCAGATAGTATCGATGATGGTATCAGTATTTTAATAATATAATACATAAATTGATTATTGTATAATGATAATAATATACTAATCAACTTTCACTCCTAATAGTTGGATAATAGTCGCACAAGTGCATAGGTACGGCGGCTCAAGTATATTAATATATAGAACGCTCTTCTATAATTGTGTCACACCAAATTACGACAGTTATCATAGTAAGGCATAATATCGATATATTATATCGTTTAAAGCACTCATAAACTGTATTATGTGTACCAGGTACACTGTGGGTACCTATGTATAAGTAGATAGTCGAGTGTTATTGTGTAACTCACACGACATAATCCATAAAAAACGATTAGTGTATTTAGTTGTTTAGTATGTAGAGTGTTTACCGGAATTTTACAGTATAATAATAATATACCTACATAGATATTATAAAATAGTCCGATAGGTACGTGGGCTATTGGCCTTTGGTGTATTATCCAAGCCACAAATCATTCTTTAGAACTGTCGTATCGCGTGTCTCTGAGTCTCGTTATTATACGTATAAATGTATAATACATATTATTAGATTATTATTTATTATTATTAATATATATTATATATTTCAATMGGAACGTATTAATAATAATGATAATGATAATAATAAATTATACTATTCGTATATAAGTACCCGTTGGTACGACTTACGAAACTGGCAAGAAATAAATATAATAATATGTAATGTGAAATACATAATATTATTTACATTTAATTTATACGTTAGAATAATGTTATTATAACATTGATATTTTATCGACGAGAAGGTATAATATATTTATTTTTTATGTGTATATATAATATAAGGTTCACTTTTGCAATAAATTACTTACTCTCATTCTCCTAATTAAAACGTGTATAAAATTAGTATAGTAAATAAATATGAATGCAAGTATACTGTTATTTTATGACCATATTAAAATGCTAAGAACCATTAACGATATTTCCGGAGGGAATCCATACGTCAAATAATTTGATGTTATAATACGAAAGAGAATTTTGTATGCATATCGATTGGACCATAATTTTTGAATTTTCACGAATAAAATATTTTGTCCAGCTATAGTTTCAAAATAAATAATATCGTATCATTCGTATCTAAGTAATAATATGGCAATATAGGCATATGTATATAATATATCCTAACTATATTATAGTATAGTRTTTAATCATGCACTGACAGTTAGATTCGTTATTGACTTCTTACCGCGCAGCTGCGCAACACGAAATATTTTCTACACAAATAAAATATTAATATATGGAGATTGTTTTTGCTCCCATTCGATCCMCAGAACCTATAAAATTAGTCACTATTTTGATGGAAACAGAGTTGTACAATTTATTATTATTGTAGAAATGTATTGACATTTTAATTTTCAACTTTCGTTACCTAGCCATAGTAATGATGAATATGCTTTAAAATCTGAGTATGTGTAGGGGTAGTAATTTAAAAGTATACCTGTYAAGTTTCCTTTACGCGCACATGAATGTGTAAACTTCATTTAACAATGTAACATGAAATGAGGATTTAGAGACACTTATCGTACATATAGGTTCTCCGAAACCATAACTTTAATTCAAGGTTATCGGCTACAAATATTTAGTATTTTAATGTAATGATTATAGCACGTTATGAAAAATTGTATATTCACACGATGTACCATATTATGTTTATTATAGGTATATTATCACACGGACTCTGCCAGATACCTATATGCCAGTATTAAACCACGTGGACAGATCAAATTCAAAGTGCAATTATAATCAACAGATACCTATAATAGCCTAACCTATATTATAATATGYGCACGTGTGTACGTTTATTATAACACGACTATAGGTAATACGAACGACTTGGGTGACCGAGTGGGTAAAACGGCAGTGGAAGCAGTGGTGACGCCGGTGGATTCCRGACGGGTTATCTGCACATAGTGCTTTGGGCAAGGTAGTGTAACCCAGTTTTGAGAAATGGAACTTTCACCGCGCTAGCTCCGTTATTATTATTAATATCGCTGTTGAATTATTATCATACGGATATTCCCGTGCAGAAAATTATAACTACGTCACCTAATGCCATATATTTCAATGGTACCTATATTGTCCACATTGGTATTATATATTATATAGATAGGTATGTGTATTGTAATAATATTAAATATTATTAGAAATTCTTGATAAAAAAAAATACATATATAAACATAATAATATGATATTAGGTACTCACTTTGCACATGCATGTATAACACATCATATTTTTGATGGTGAGCACGTTTACTATTTCACCTTCGTTGACACAGCTTTCGGCATAACCTGCAACAAGAAACATAAAAATATTACTTAGTTAGTATTTCCAAATATATTACAGTATATTACGTGAGTATAGGTATGCCATTAAAATAATATACGTCTGGGCGTCAGTGGTGGATGATCAGAAATATTCTTGTCACAAAACAACGAATATTACGCACGTAGCCATATTATTTTAACATATAGGTACATCGATGTATCATTATATAATTACAAACACCATTTATTTTATGGATGAGAGTATTATAAAAAGTGATCATTTTATCCATTATTTCTGTTTACACGTTTAGATAAATTTAATATATTATTATTGTGTGTATGTTATGTAATACATTTCTAACACATATCATAATAATCACTATACTGCAATAATATGTACGACATTATAATGACGTTTCTTTCGCGAGTGTATTATTTTACGAATCCAACGTGAATTTCTGATCTCCATGTACATACCACGTATAATAATATATATGATAGTGTACGTTTCGAGGTAAATTATTTACATAACCTCGTTGTATGTCACCTGCACAGCCTCCGTCTGGCTTCAGACGCTGTCTGGCCAATTACACGTGCGAATCTTATTAAGTGAGATTTACGGTAATATTTTCGTGTTTGACGCGATGTATTTATTATATGATTATAATATATGATCACTTTAATAGACACGACCAGATAAGATTATCAAACATATATTCCTACTGATTATTTTTTTCTGCATAAAACGTGTAGGTAGGTATTATAATATTGTATATTGCATAAATCAGTGTCGTACTAATGATTTGATTACCATCATGCGATGTCATCTATGTTAGTCTCTCCTTTTCCAAAACTTTTTTGGTGGTTAAATTACATTATGGATCACAATAATACATAGATATATTATGTTTAAGTGAAATAAAACCATAACTATGGTATATGGAAAATTATAAGAAAAACAAAATGAAAGTATCAAAAGAAAAAACGAAAAAACGAAAATATTTAAAAAAAAGATAAATAAATAATTACATTCAATTAATATTCAAAAAGTTATAAGCAAAATAATGCAATAAATAAAAAATGCTGGACACCATAAACAACAGAAATTTCTTAATTTTACAATACAAAAAAGCACACACAAAAAGCAAAATATAAAAAAAATCTTCAATCACTGTAGGTTTTCAAACTGAAGTATATATAGATAATAGAGATATTTACATTTAAGAAATAATAAAAAAAATTGGGAAAATTATCTTTGAATATTACAATCTTAGTAAGATGTAGTATTTACTGTTACTTATTGTTTTCATACTCATACACATATTATAATATATATTGAAGTGTATACCAACAAATAAAAGCATAAGCCGCGATATAAGTATCCATAAACATATGTATATATCAAGATTTCTGCTTCCATAAATTATAATGTTATCAATTGCATCATGTAATCGGTATCTACTTCAAGAATGTATGTTGTGTTTCTAGTTAACATTTTAATGAGTTTCAACTTAATATTAATTATCTACGAGAACATGATTAAAACAATATGTCAAACACACAGCAATAAGAAGTGCGAAATTGAATGTATTCTTATAAAGACAACATTATTAAGTATAGCCTGCAAAGTAGCAAGGGTACATTGTACTTGGTCGATTTTTTATTTACACTTTTTTTTATCGATTTCAAGTCCGAAACAAAAATCGAACAATGACCATTAGGTGATATTTATAAGGTTTAAAATTACATAATCTCTATGATATAGGTGACAACGTACAAATTATAATAAAAGTCGACTTAAATACTAGCTGGAAATATATTAAGGGGTAAAGTTATGACATGTTAAAAATATGAACGACAATGATGATGTCGTACTTGAATATTGTCGATGTATTATTATATTATAACATTGTATTGTCAATCAATCAGAATAGATGCAATATGTAGTTTTGTCACACATTTTCTGGACGATGCAAAACTCTATCATCGGCGGATTGAATTTATTGTCCAAGTGGTGGCTTGATGAAATTCAAAAACTAAGCTTACCTAAGTACGCACATGATGTATAGGTGCAATACAGTGGATGTATAGTATAATATACTTGCATTGCGCTGTTTTTTTCGAACAACAATCGAAAGTTTATAATGGAACAACGATGCGACTGGCGCAACGTCGGCGCCCTTAAATCCAATAATAGTTGGCGCTCCGGCACGGGCGTAATAAATTTATGTCGCATAATGTATATATATATATATATATACGCCACTGATAACAGCGTAACAGTGATACACCCATGATACATATACACAATATATTCGTGGCTCGATGATCGCTGTGAACCCGAAACGGATTCGTCGTAATAAATTTCCTGGCACCGGTCCGCGGGCCTCTGTTCAGTGTATACGTCCGCCCCAATAATCTGCGAACAGAGATTTTTTTCCACTCTCGCGGATTGACGTCCGCCGTTGTTTATGCGTACCTACTGAACGGACGTGGTTTTCGGTATTTTTTCCTCCTCTTCCTCTTCATCATCATCACCATCGTCGTCGTTGTTCAGCGATTCGCCCACCGCCGTCGCCGACGCCGCCGCCGGATCGCGGTCAATTCAATTTACAACTCATCGTATGCGTATATACGTGTGTACGATAGTATAATAATGTATAACGATTTATTGAGCACGTGCTCAACCCCATTTTTCTCTTTAAATGTACGTTTATAATTATTACAGTTCTGATTTTCAAATTTTTTGAAATAATTAAGTACAATACCTATCTACAATGATGAATACGAATAATGAATATTATATAAGTGGCATAGTCTCCATATATTTTGAACCTATAATAATTTATCCTCAATGCATATAATAAGTGCTTATATTTAATGTATAATAATAGAAATTCGAAATGAAAAATTACAGAATTTTATAAGATATATATACTTAAATAAATGATTAATGCAAGAGTGCGACAAAATTTGAATTTAATGAAAATACTACAATCATTTTAGTTTTTAATTACTCATATTAACTAATATCCTATAATTTAGTTTTAATATAATTTTTATAATTTATTATCATTTTAAATGTAATATAAGCAAATTTAATTGAAATAAACATTTGTTAATAAGCTTGATGAGTTCCCATCACGTAAGCATGTTCAATGAGGCCATATTTATATTGATAGAAACAAGAAAAATTAAAAAGAAAAAAATTATTATATTATATATTTTACATATAAAAATAAACAGTAAAATAAAACTGGAAATAATGTGTCTACCACGGTATTAAAGATATTATGTCCCGTTTAAATTCCATAAAATTTGAAAATTTGGCTTTTTAGTAAATTATTGTTTACAAATTCATAAATCTAGATTTGTGTGAGTTTGATGCTTAGGGATAAAATTATGATCAACATGCTTGGTGAATCACTCTGTTTATATATCATTGATAATACTTGGCAAATGCGATCATGGATCAAAAGGAGATAGAAATTCACCCTTGTGAACTTTGAACATCGAATAATATAAACTTTTCGCGTCACTTTTGAAGGTGGTGACAGATGTGTTTAAAGAAATAATTTTATATTATAAATCTACAGATAGAAGAAAATTGTTCATGCAAATATAATGTGCATTGTGCGCGTAATAAATAAATAGTTTATTAAATTGTATGATTAGTCCTTACAATATTCATTATCGACGAGGTACGTTGCGATATACATGACGCATTGTGTATCTACTTGATTCGGGCGTTAAATATTATTTCACTTTTTTACAATACATGAAGTGTCTGATTAAAATATATTATTAATCTATAGAGCATTATTAGTGAAGTCTACATTTTGAGACGACTCTCGATGATATTCTTTTCAAATATTGATTTACCGGAAATATATTAGTAGAAACCGAGGACAAGGATAACTTATATCGAGGGCCAGACCAGATCACGTATTATATTATTATTATTTAATTATTTATATCGAGCATAATATAATATAATATCGATGAAACTTGTATGTGTTGTATAACATATAATTTTCAGTCAAAAGGATTTGTGTGCATAATAATAATATTAAAAAATAATATATATATATAAATAAAAATAATAATAATATTGGTCGCGTTCTATTGGGTTCTAGTATATAAATGAATAATGGCCCTTAAACAGACTTAAATCGTGACGATAGTTGATGTCGTATTTTATGTAAAATATTATCGTTAAGTCACTTCAACATAAGAATAAACCTGCATACGAATGAATAAATTAATCGATCTCACCATAGTTGATCTAGCTACCGTATTACAACCACGTCTCAGGCTTATGGTAATATGATAACTTTTACGAAGTGAACGGTAAGCTTTTTTTTTATAACAGTGAAACTGCACCTGTTTATCGCTCAAACTAAAAATATAATTATCGACAACTCGGTTTACGTAGATCAGCAAAATATAATATTATATTGCCATATGCACATAATTCTGAGTAGGTATTATAATAATGTACCTACGTATTATTCAGTGCTTGTATGCGACCGAGAACATCATATAATTTATTTATAGTATTTATTGCTCAATTCATAAAACTTTTATCACTTCACTCGATATCCAAGCGTTAAAAATCCTTTTATAGTCAAAAATACCAATTATAGTAAATACATATATGAATATGATATTAGGATAATATGTTGACTTGTATAGTAAGTAGATACCTAATATCCATACAAATCTATGTTATTGATTTCCTACTGCAGTTGAATGAATAAATATAATAAATAATTGTATAATTCACCTCTATATTACCTATAACATAAATTTAATCAAACCGTTCCTAGACAGGTATTTTCTTAGATACCTACTTCAAGCACAATTTATTATTCTCTATTTCATTATTAGCCCACAGCAATGTCATTACCGAGTAAACATTTTCAAAATGATTGTTTATTACGTTCTCTATACTGGCTGTTGGCCAGCTGCAGTATTATATATATATATATATATATATGTAATATGTATATGTATAAGTAATA